GGTTTCTTGTAAAAGATTTCTAATGAACCAGCCTCTACCGTAGATCGGCGATGCGGCGCAATTCTCCGACCTCATCTACTCGGACTCCATTCGGGAGGCCTCTATGAGCGGATGCGGCCCTGAGGATGCGAGGGGATTCCAGGTTGAATTTACATCGTTTGAGGCCCCTCGTCCGCAGGGCCCCGTCCCTCAGGGCCCCATGTTGGAGCCGCCGGCCAGAGGAGGAGCAGGAGGAGGCGGAGGAGAAGGAGGCGGAGGAGTGGAAGAAGAGGAGGCGGACGGAGGGGAGGAGAGGAGGAGAAGGAGGCGGGAGGTGGGAGGAGGAGGAGAGGAGAGGTGGAGGAGGTGGAGGAGGAGGAGGAGGAGGAGGAAGAGGAGGGGAGGAGGAGGAGGAGGGGAGGAGGAGGAGGAGGGAGGGGAAGGAGGAGGAGGAGGATGAGGTATGGGGGGGTTGAGGAGGAGGAGGAGGCGCCCTTCCCAGGTCAGGGGCAACGTTCTGGGGTAGGCTCATGGGCGGGGGGCAGACGCACCCCAATCGACCGTTCATCACCGACACGGGCCCGATGGCTCACCCTGCCCAGGAACGTGCGGATTCGCCATCGGGGGGCCTATCGTCGATCTGTCGGCGGTGCATTGCCGGCTCAGGCCTGACGTTTCCTCCCCCCCCCACCCCTCCCGCCTCCCCCCCTCCGCGAGCGGGCAGCCCCCGTCTCCAGCGTGATTCTTGATGAGAGCCTCAGAGGGTCCCGGAATTCCTTTTTGTGGCTTGGGGGATCCTGTCTGGATTTCTTCGGACTTGGTCGACATCTGGACGACATCCGGACGAAATCTGGACGAAATCTGGACGACAGGGTGAAGGGGGGTGGTCGAAATCTGGACGAAATCTGGACGAAATCATGTTTATGATCGGGCCGCAGAGGTCCACAGGCTCCCGTGGAGGCTCACCCAGACGTTCCCCCCGAGAGGACGCCGACGCCCTGTGCGAGGTCCTTGAGGCGCTCTCCGCCGTCCCCGCGACGGTGGAGCTGCTGAAGGAGACGCACCTGGGCGTGCTCACCCAACCCCTCAAGGACCCGCTGCGCGGCGGCGCAGCGCGCAGAAGCCAGAGGAGGAAGAGGTATCGATACCGCCGATGCCGCTACTGGGGGGATTCCTTGAGGAAGGTGCCCAGGAGGCTTCAGACCCTGGAGGGTTCCTTCTCTGATAAGGGCGGCTGTGATGTCCACTCCACGGTCGAGCCTCACTTGGTGTTCCACCAGCTTTCCCTCACCGTGCCCTTTCCTCAATTTTCGCTTCGTGGGGCCTCCTGGGAGGCACTCGTCGCCACGGCTGGATTCGCCTCGAAGTTCTGGGCAGAGCGCACCCTGGGGAAGCTCCAGGGAGTGGTCGTATCGGTACCCTGAAGTCTGGCATGTGCCTCTACAGGAGGAAAATTCAAAGATCGTCCAAAAAACAGTCCGGGGACGATGCTTCGATCATTGTTTGGACCATTGCTGGACTCTTTTCTCGCTACCGTTCACCTCTCTTCCCAAGTCCGCCTGTAGGAGGACACGCCCCACCTCGCGGTGCCCTCTCGCCCCCTCCCCCCGCCAGGGAGAAGGGCCTGCTTCGCGAGGGAGGCGGCCTCCCTCCTGCGAAGGCACCGGGGGGGGTGGCGGGCGGCCTCCTCCGACCCGCCCTCGCTCAGAGAGCCGGGGCCTCCCGCGTGGGGGCCCGAGCAGCGGGCGTCGAGGGATCGCGCCGCACCGCCGTTGCACCGGCGCTGCGGCTCGATGTGGAGCCTCCTCCTCCTCCTGCTCCGCCGATGTTCTCCACGCCGGCGGCGGCTATGCATCGCCGACGTCGCCGATGCATCGGCGATGCACCGGCGATGCGTCGCGATTCTCAGGCCCGATCTGCTCAGACTTCATGCGGCCGTCCTCAACAGACGCCTCTCCAGAAGGCTTCGAACCACTCTGGGGAGTCCCCTGCCCCCCTCGCCCCTCCTGGCGCGCCGCTGGAGGACCACGCCAACAAGCAGGTCCGGTCGGTGGCCAAGAGGCTCCGCCGAGGCTGGAAGGACATCGTCAGCGAGGCGAAGGAGAGGTCCGCAGAGGGGCCCGCCGAAGACGTGGAGGCGGAGCACGGCGGCGCCGCGGCGCTCAAGAGAGAGGCCTGGCACGCGATGAGGCCGCCGCCTCCTGGAGCTGGCGGCGACCGGAGGAAGACGAATGTGGCGTCGATCGCTGCCAGGATCTCGCAATGAATCAATCGGCGGCGAGCCTGAGGGGGAAGGGAGAAGGGGCGGGCCTTCTCAGAAGGCTCGGAGGTCCCCTAGCCTTCTACTAAGAAGTTTTCTAAGCCTCCCCCGAAGACGCAGAAAATTTCTCAGAAGGCCAGAGCGCTTCTGAGAAGTCTCGCCGCCTTCTGAGGATGCCTTCTCCTTCTCACTTCCCCCCCTCGCTCGCCACCGAGTCTAGTCCTCCCAGATGGGGTCGACGTAGACGGGGTCGGACGATCTCGCCGCATCGCCGATGCACCGGCGATGCGGCTCGATGTGGAGCCCGATTTTCTCCGCGCTGGCGTCGCCGACTCCCGCCGACGTCGCCGATGTGGCGATGCTCTGGCGATGTGGCGCGATCCTCCGACTTCCATATCCTGGGTGACCCCACTGAGGAGGCTTCAAACTTCGCCACCAAGGAGAGGGATCCTGACGGAGAGGGGCCCGAAGGTCTTTCGTCGATGTCGGGCTCCCGGGGCCTGAGCGAGCTTGAGGGGGAAGGGGGAAGGGGGAAGGGGGAAGGGGCGGGCCTTCTCAAAAGGCTTGGAACTCCCCCGGCCTTCTACAAAGAAGTTTTCTAAGCCTCCCCCGACGTTTTCGTCGATGTCGGGCTCCTGGGGCCCTGCCCCCGAGCCCTGGTGCGTGCAGGCCGCGCGCACCGGCACGCGCAGAGGCGTGCGTCGATCTGGCCTGGCAAACCGCAGGCGCCGTCCAGCGAGAGGAGGTGCGGGTTATTTCGGGGGGGGCGTCCAAGAGGGGAGTGAGGACTTGGGGTGTGTGGGAATCATTTCAGGGGCCGTGGTATCTCCCAGAGTTCATGGCTCGGTCTTCTTCTCTCGATGCGCTCCCTCGCCCCCCCCCCGCTCGTCCTCGCCAGCACCCCTCCTTTTAAGCATCGTCTAACCGATCCCCATCCTTACCAGGCCATGGTGCCACGGTTTCTCAGCCCCACCAGCCCACCTCCCCAGCGGGGCACAGGCCCTGCGAAACCCGGAGGGAACAGCACGTACCCCCCGCGAAACCAGGAGGGAACTCGGCCAGTGGGGCCAAGGCCACGCCGCTGGGGACCAGGGACTGGTCCCTCGATGCTCCTCTTCCCGGCCCCCCTCTGCGGCGCACCCGGCTGCCGCCGGTGGTCCTCCCACGAGCGAGCGAGCCTCAGGAGCATGGTGGGCGCCGGCGCCGGCGGCGAGGCCGGCGCGGGCCCGGGGGCATCCCCGCAGAGGCCGCGCTCGGCGCTGCCAGGGCAGAGGCCGGGCCTCGGAGGGGCGGGGCGAGGGGTCGCGGACGGGAGGCGTGTCCAAATCCACGGCCTCGCGGGCCGGGCTCGTGGGCAGGACCCCCTGGTTCCTTGCCCACCGAGCCACCCCAGCCCAACCCGAAGGCCCCAGGCTGCTCTCCATTCCCAGTAGGGGGGCGTCCCGAAACGCTACGAGACCACAGAGAAGGAACCTGTACCCCCCCCCAAATCCGAAGTTATGTGGGACGTCGGGTTGGGTTGGGGTGGCTGGCAGGTTGTCAACGGTCTATCGCCTGAGTGTGTTCACGTCCAGCGCTTCGGAGTCGTGCCCTTTCCTCTCGAGGAGTGACGGATAATACAGGTACATCTGCCCGCACCTGCGGGCGGGAGTGTGCCCACACATCCGCCGCTCCTCGAGTCCCTGGGGCGCGACTCCGAAGCGGTGGGCATGGACACGGGGCGTTCCTTCGCTACGGGGGCCACAGGCGAACCCTACCCCTACCCCCCACGATTTCCGAGGGAGAGGGTGGGGTTCATTTCGCTCGGGAGCTTCCGAGCGAGGTGAACCCCACCCTCCCCCTCAGAAATCGTGGGGGGTAGGGGCAGGGTTCGCCTGTGGCCCCCTACTCGCGGATGCCCCTCGCGGAAGGTAGCCGTGCGACCGCGTGGCCGCGGGATCGCGCTCCGGAGCCCAGGATTCGCGCCGGGGGTGCGGATGTGGGCACCTTCGCCGCTCGTGGGCAGGCGCACGCCGCCTCGGGAGCAGCAACTTAGACTTCCGAAACTCTGTTGTTGTTGTTGTTGAACATTATTAATTCTAAAGAATAATTATTGTTGGGCCCCCTGGTGCACGCCCCCCCCGCCGCGCCTAGGCCGCAGCTACATTTTCATCATTTTCGTGAGGAAGCCTCAGGTAAAACGATGGGGTCCAGATCCGGTTGTTTTGTTCCCCCCCGCTTTCCCTTGCAAAAAACACTATAAAATGAAATTTCTTGTTCAAATGTAATCAAATTTCAAGAATCCCTTGCAAAAAATAAGGTAAAGTGGACATTCGCGCGCGCAAGACGAAATCCTTCCAAAAGCTTAGTGTTCGGAGCGATTTTAACATAAAAACATCAAAAAACCAATGGTTTTTCAACAAAAAAATGTCAAAATCTCATCCCGCGCGCTCTTGCGGATTCGTAGGAAACCCAACACTTTTTAAACATTTCTGTCAAACGGGCTTTTGCGAGCAACTTTTTCGAACTTCTGCGACAACGGTTGCGCACCTGCCAGGGCCATCATCCCTGTCAAATAATACCATGCGGGACACATTCGTTTTTTCTTCGCGCGCGCACGCCGAAATCTCCAAAAACCATTGGGCTTCTTAAGAATTTTAGCACCGCGCATCATATGCAACAGATGTTCTGTGGAAGGCTTAACAACTTCTGTGGGTTAATAAGGCTTAACAACTTCTGTGGGTGTACGAACGTAGGCTTACGACGTAACTTCTTTGGGTGTGTACTCCACGCCAGTGTAGTAGCCACGGTCGTCCGCAGGCCACGAAGTGAAGTGTCCGAACGTCATAGGGCGGGAAGCTGGGTGTGGGTGGTGGCGAAGAGTCGTGTGGATATTTGGTAGAGCTTGCACTTGCCCCCCCACAAAGTGGGGGTATTGGCTGGCGTCGCATGAAAACCCTGGCACTGGTGAGAACACTGAGCGTTCGGGTAAAGTGATTGTTGTTTTTGTTGTTGTTGTTGTTTGTTGTTGTTGTTGTTGTTGTTTGTTGTTGTTGTTGTTACTGCTGTTGTTTTTTTTTTTTTTTTTTTTTTTTTTTTTTTTTTTTTTTTTTTTTTTTTTTTTTTTTTTTTTTTTTTTTTTTTTTGTGTGTGTTTTTTTTGTTTGTTTTTTTTGTTTGTTTGTTGTTTTTTGTTTGGTTTTGCTTTTTTTTTTGTGTGTTTTATGATTCTTTTGGTTTTGTTGTTGTTGTTGTTTTTATTATTGTTGTTGTTTTTTTCTTTGTTTTTGTTTTTGGTGTTGTTTCCTCAATCTTGTTTCAATCCTCGGGCCCCGGGGCCATCAATAATGGTTCTGGGACGAGGGACTTCCCCCGGGGAAGGGGTCGGGACCTCTGGGAACGCGCACTGTGCATCTCTCACCTTCGGCGTCCCTGCTCTGCGATCGCTCGCGAACCCCACTGCTACAGACATCCCCGCCGGAGGAAAGTTGGCTGCAGACATCCTTCAAATTCTGGACCCCAGCCGGTTGTAAAAGGCCCACCCGGCAGGCTCCGTTCACAGCACATCGTTGAGCGGTGTTGCAGCCGCCTCTGAGCACATGCTCCCCCCCTGGAACTGGCTCAAGGTTTTTCTCGCTCGAGCCTCGCGCGCCCAAGAAGGTGGCTGCAGTCAGAGTTGGCGGGGGGCCCCAGACGCAGCCTCGAGGTGCCAGTCATGTCAGCGGAGCTGCAGTGCCACTCCGACGCGGAGCTGCTCCACGGGTCCAGCGACGACGCAGATCGGCCCACGCAGCGCCAGCCCCTCTTCGCGCGCAAGCTGACGCATTCGGTGGTGCTGGCAGTGTCCTGCGGTGCGATCCTGGCGCTGGCGTCCCTGGGCGTGGCGTCGCACTGGAGCGGGCAGAGCGGGAGCCGGGCATCTGTCCGGATCCGGGGCGCGACAACTTTGGACGATTTGGGCAACCTTGTGGACGATGTGAAAGATGCTGCGGACGATGCCGTCGACGAGGCCCAAGACGCTGCGGACGACGTCGTGGAGAAGCCGCCGGGTGGTGATGTGGCGGAGGATGCGGACGAGGTCGTCGACGACGCCCAAGATGATGCGGATGACGTCGCGAAGGATGCGGACAAGGTCGTCGACAATGCCCAAGATGCTGCGGATGACGTCGCGGAGAAGCTGCCGGGCGGTGATGTGGCGGATGACGCGGACGAGGTCGTCGACGACGCCCAAGAAGATGCGGATGACGTCGCCGAGGATGCGGACAAGGCTGTCGACGATGCCCAAGATGCCGCCGATGACGTCGCGGATAAGCTGCCGGGCGGTGATGTGGCGAAGGATGCGGACGAGGTCGTCGACGACGCCCAAGATGATGCGGATGACGTCGCGGAGGATGCGGACAAGGTCGTCGACAATGCCCAAGATGCTGCGGATGATGTCGCGGAGAAGCTGCCGGGCGGTGATGTGGCGGAGGATGCGGACGAGGTCGTCGACGACGCTCAAGATGATGCGGATGACGTCGCGGAGGATGCGGACAAGGTCGTCGACAATGCCCAAGATGCTGCCGATGACGTCGCGGATAAGCTGCCGGGCGGTGATGTGGCGGAGGATGCGGACGAGGTCGTCGACGACGCTCAAGATGATGCGGATGACGTCGCGGAGGATGCGGACAAGGTCGTCGACAATGCCCAAGATGCTGCGGATGACGTCACGGAGAAGCTGCCCAGTGGTGACGCCTAAGGTCATGAGGATGACGTCGCAAAGAAGCTGCTGGGTGGTGACGACGTTGAGGCTGCGTCGACGACGACGACGCAGCTGCGTCTCCACCAGCAGCAGTGGTGCAGGTGACGGGTCGTGGCGCAGCCCTTGAACCGGTGATTGGGAGGGGGGGGCCGGGGAGTAGGTGGTTGGGGGACTGGAGGAGGGAGGCCTGTGCCGCGCGCATTCGCTTGCGTGGCCACCTGGTAGATCGAGTCGGACAGCGGCCCTGTTCCGACCCCGCCGCGCTGGAGGCGGTTATCTGTGCTTCGCGCACCCGCCCAGCGCGGCCACCCGAGAGCTCTTTCTGCTTCTCCTCCTCGTCCTCCTCCTCCTCCTCCTCCTCCTCCTCCTCCTCCTCCTCCTCCCCCTCCTCCCCCTCCTCCGCTTCCGCCTCCTCCGACCCCGCCGGATCGATTCGGGCGGCGCGCGCGCGGAGCTGCGACGCGTCCCCCTTCCTCTGGGATTTAAAGTTTTTCTCCTAGTGTACATAAATATATAGATGCCGCTCTTCCGCCTGCTCACCG